CAAAAAAAAAGAATAGAAAAGAAACCGGGAAAAAAGAGAGACCGAAAAGAAAAACACAACAAGCCTTGGACATTGCTTGTTTTCATGTCTCTTTACATCTCCATCATCATCGAAACTTTTACGCTGACGTACTTTATTCTCGTGACATTTATTTGTTTTGTTATTGGGTTTTTTCTGCGCATTAAGCTCTCTAATTTTATGACTCTGTAGTGAAAATTATTCTATTACGATGTTAAAGTAAATTATCTTGTTCAGCTGTTACTGAATGCATCTTGTTACACCCCTTCCTCTAGATTATTAATTTTTATTAAGTTGCTACCAAGATTATGTTTTTGAGCTATTGCTGAGATTTTACAAATCAAATTGTTCCTATAGATTGTTTTAGCAGGTTAATACTGTGGTTTATTGTATCAAGTCGCTCATTTGACTCTAGTCACTGCTGACTAAAAGAAAACAATTACGTCCGTGATGAAAATTTTGCCCTTTTAGATGATATCATTACTTTACCGGTGAAACCTGGGAACCCATATGTTTCACTTTTTTGACAACTGTGAATTCTTATTAAAATTATGTTTTCTACACACTAGCCATATCTCCATACTTTTGTTGTAGCACCTGCGTCTTATTCCTGCGGGAGAGATGACAACGACTACGTATGCTGCTGCTGCTGCTACTGCTGCTAATGATGATGATGATGATGATGATGATGATGGTGATGATGATGATGATGGTGATGATGATGATGTTGATGATGGTTGACAGTCAGTATGGCCAAAAGTGCAGGGATATTCTATCGTTTAGTTTCTTATCGGCCTCCTTGTTGAAGCAGGACCACCTATTTAAATTTACAGCCAAACCGAGTTACTCGCTTCAATTACTAAAAAAGAACAATCCCCACTCTGGAATGGAGCTCACGTCTTTTACAAGTGACAGCGGACAGCCTGACCACTGCGACACATATTAGGCCAGTGTCAGTGACTGTGAGAGAGTGAGATCTGTTCTCCTTTGGCGGAGGTCACCGTTGTAGGGGGAAGGAAATCAGTCACGACCTGCCCCGTGACCTGAATACCAGAACGTGACTTGTCATAAGAAGGGGATACAAAGCAAAATTGTAACGGCGAATACTTGAAAGTTTGTACCAAAGAGGTTGTATATGTCTACTAAAAAATAAATAAAATACTTTAAATAAAAAAAATGTTATTACCAAGAAAACACACCCTTCGATAACACCCCAAGTCAATATTTGACAATCCTTACTATCTCGAAGGAAAAGTTGTTTAATTTGAAGTAATATTCCGTTTTATTGGCTCTCCTGCTAATTTGTAAAAACTGCATATTATACAGTACTTTTAAATTACCTCAAATGTGTGTCACGAGGCGATGGAATTAGATGCTCCTTTTTGGGCATATGAAGCTTTTAGTATCATCTTAAAGCTTGTTCAATTGTATTGCTTTTGATGAAAGAAATGCCCATGTATCTTGAATTGAAGCAGAGAGGTATTTGCGACTGAAAGATGTGGGGTTGCCTGGATTCAGACGCAACATTATTGAGAAAATAGCAGTCGAAGTAAGGTGAATTCCACAGTTTGAGAGTCCTTGAAAACAGAACATTTACTTTTTTGGGCCTTTAATCAATGTTTTACAGTGAAATCCACACAGGAATATCATTTAAATGGGACGTTTGAAGTGTTGAGCCCAAAAAAAAATAAAAAATCCCAAACAACAACAACAGCAACAACAAAAATTCGATAAACATTGGCAATCCGGTGGAAAAATGCCGGTTTCTTCGATTTCATTATTTTGACAAGTACTGGATTTCACCATTGTATTGGAGATCGTGGCCGTGCCACTACCAGCGTAATCGAACCAGCGTTGCGTGTGCACACCATAGTGTCCACTTAGAGACGGTGGGTATTGGGGGAAAGAACAAGAAACGATAAGTACTTTTCAAGACTCACATATAAACGTTTCAACGGTGTTTGATATACTTATACTTGTGGGGAGCAGGGTGATTGCTCAGATTGTTCATGCAAATAGAGGCACGCCGGCCATGCCACTGAGGACAAGAAGGCCCCTATATCTGACGCGATCGTGGCGTCACTGCCACGAGCTCTTGTATTGTGTCATATAACCTCTTTGGTGTGTACATTTCTTTTACGGTGTCACGTGTAAGAATGTACCTCAGTCCGGACCCCCCCCC